CCTCCACGGCCTCTCCCCACAGCCTCCACGGCCTCCACAGCCTTCACTTCTGCCTCTTCTCCCTCCACCCATCCCTCTGCTTCAACCAAATCAGCCTTCATGCTGACATTGCTGGCTCTTCCCTCCCGCCGGGCCTGTGCGGTCACGGTTGCCTCTGCCACAGTCCCCTCTCCTCCAGAGAGGCCCCACTGCCTCCCTCACATTGCCCACCCCCTCACAGCGTCCCTGTCCTTGGCTTTGTCCCCTCCTTGGTTACGGTGCAAATGCATTTGCTAGGGTGTCCCTCCTGTCTTCTGTCGCTGGGCTGGGGTTCCGGCCACCTTGTCACCACAGTGTCCTCAGGGCCCCAACAGTGCCTGCCACGCAGCAGGTGCTGATATAAGGTAATGGTGACTGCGGGCCTCGTGCAGGAGTGCATGGTGATCCCGGTGGCAGCTGCGGTTGACTTCACTGGTGACACAAGTGGGCCAGGTCTCCTCTCTGGTCAGCCAGAGGGCCCTGAGCAAGAGGTCCCCGGGTCGACGCCTCGCTCCCTCCCCTGCCTGTTTACCTACCATCCGTCCGTTCATCCGGCCAAACGCTGCGCTGCACTGGGGTGAGCAGAGGCCCCACCTGCCCAGGACTTGCCGCGTGCTAGACTCGGGGCTGGGCTCTGAGGGACCTTGTGGGACTTAGACGGAGACACAGTGAAGCCGGCTCCATACTGCCTGGTCATCGCTCGCCTGGAGTCAGGCTTATCATGCAGAGCCTCAGTATTACTTCCTGAACAATGGGGTCCAGATCAGGGAGGATGGGGACATTAAGGGAAGTGTCATAAGCAAGGCCCCGTGAGGCAGCTAACGTCATTGACTTTGTCATCCTGCTGCTGGCCAGCCTAACCCATGAGACCCGGGACAGGAGGAGCCACTGACACGTCTGCAGGCTCCTCTTGAGGAGTCCAAGGCGTAGGGTGAGGGGGAGGTGGATGTGGAGCATGGCCGGCACCTGCTGAGGGGGCTCCTGCCTGGAGAGGGCCAGGCTGGTGGGAGGAGCCACCCTGAGCCCAACCTGAGAAGGAGAAAGCCTCTTTCCCTGTAATCCACAGCCTTCACCCAGGGACCTGCCAGGGAGCAGGGAGCAGGCCAGCTATAGCAAGACCCCCCAGGTGGCTGTCCCTCATACTGCTTCCCAGAAGGTCTAGCCACCCCCCTCTCTCTCTCTCACACATACACTCAAAACAACAACACACACATATACTGTGTTAGTCAGCTTTCTGTGACTGTGACAAAATACCTGAGAATATTTACTTAAAGAAGAAAAGTTTTGTTTTAAGCCCAGGGTTTCATTCCTTGGTCACTTGTCTCCGTTGTTTCTTGACCTGACATGAGGCAGAACATCATGGGGGAAGGGCATGGTGAGCAAAGCTGCTCACCCCACAGCAGCTGGGAAGTAGAGAGACAGAGAGGAAGGGGCTGCGGACCTTCTTCCCAGTAGGTTGTTCAATTATGAACCCATCAATGGATTGATTAGTCTATTGATGAGGTCAGAGCCCTTCTGACCTTCCACTTCCCAAAAGTCCCACCTCTGATCATTGCTGCACTGGCGACCAAGACTTCAACACACGAGCCTGGGGACATTCCAGATCCAAACTATAACATACACATGCACACACCACACACAGCGTGACACATGCGCACACAACACCCACCGCAACATATGCACATACACACACCACAATACACGAACACACTACACATGCACACACAACACACACCGCAACGTACACACACATACAATACACACACCTACAAGCACATGCATACATACATAACATGCACACACACCTCCCACATATCCATATACAACACATACACACACGTGTGTGGAACAACACACATACCCACATATTCACTTATTCACAATACACAAACCACCCACTCATACATATACACAAACTGTCTGCATACACTCTCTTCTCTCTCTCTCTCTCTCACACACACACACACACACACACACACACACAGGATGGTCCTGCGGGGCAGGCAGCAGAGCAGCCTCACCCTCCCTCCATATGTGGGTCTGGTTAAGTCCTAGAGCTCACGCTATTCGGGCTCTTGGCTGCTCTTTGGACCTGGCCGAAGTCGCATTGACCCTGAATCCGGAGCAGAGCATCATCTCAGCTCCCAGCAGGACTGGGGATGGTCTGGGTTCTGGTGGATTAAGCTTCTGCAGAAGCAAGACAGGGAAGGATGGGGCACCTTGGGGTGCTGGGGAGGGGATGACCTCTGGGATTTCTGGGCTTAATGCAGCGTTCTGGGGTTGCCATGAGGAGATGGTGTCTGCAAAGCACTATCTGTTAACCATAGTCCGTAAGCAAGGCGGGAAGGGAGGACCCTGGGGATCAGCCGACACCCACCCTGCAGTTGTCCCGGAGTGTCTCTGTGGCTAGGCAGAGGGAAAAGCCTAGGAGCAAATGGATCCACTTCCTGGCTGTCGGTTTTTTTTTTTTCAGCTCTGTGACCTTGGGCAAGACCTTGACTCGCCCTTGACCTTTATTTGCATCTGTGAAAGGGCACTGTAGACCTACTCGGGCTGCTTCAGAAATACTGTTCGTGAAAGCAATTTTTATTTTGTTAGTAATACTACATTCTGGTCTCCTCGGATGTGTTGTGATGTTTTGTTTCTTAAAGGCTCTTTTAAGACTGGGGATGTAGCTCAGTGCATCTGCCTAGCATGCTCAAAGCCCTGGATTCCATCCTAGCATCATTTTCTTTTTAAAGGCACTTTCCCGTACATTTAAAAAGTGGGCACAGCTTACTGCTGGCTGCTTGGAGATGTAGGAAAGTCCAAGTGGTCCTGGTGTGGAGACTGGCCCGCCCTTGACTCTCCAGCCTCCCAAGGGCCTGGAGGGTGAGCATCTTGTCCCTTGCCTCTCAGCGAGTAAATTCACAGTTTGTGAACCCTGAGTGCTCCGAACACTAGGGTGAATTGTCATTGTCAGTGGTGACACTTGTTGAGTGCCTCTTACTGCAAAGGCTCCGGGCTAAGCCCCTTCACATTAGCTTTGTGCACCTGCACAGCCTTCCAGGTAGCCGCCACTCCCCATGTTCAGATGAGCAGATGGAGACTCGGACAGGTGCTGAGGCTTGTGCAAAGCACTCACTTGGAGGCCATCTCTGACTCCCAGGGTCCATGGCCTCCACAGCACTTGGTTGTCCTGTCACAGTGGCTGAGTCACAGTCACACTCTCAGGCTCACCTGTTCAGAGACTGGGGTCAGAGGGAGAGGAGGCACCCAGAAGTCAGCAAAGCCAGGCCAGAGGGCCGGTTGCCTGCCATTACATCTACTGGCCACTTCCTTCTTGAGTCTAATGTTGGCAAGTTGATTTAAGCACAGTCCCCATGGAAAGTACCAGGATGGTGGAATTATGAAAATAAAATTGAACGCATCAAAAGTAAAGTTGAGACTCAGTAGAAAAGTTTCCTCCCGTTAAAAACCCATAGCGTCCAACCCAAGGGTCTGTTGACAGATGATGGACAAACAAAATGTCATCGACACATAATGGAATAATATGTAGCCTTTAAAAGGAAGGAAACTGTGACACTTGCTACCATTTAGTTGGACCTTGAGGACATTATGCCCAGTGAAATGATCCAAGCACTAAAGAACAAGTACTGTCGATTCCACAGATAGGAAGCACCCAGTGTAGACAGATTCACTGGGACAGAAGGCAGAATGACAGCTACCAGGAGTGGGGGAGGGGGACTTGGGGTCTAATGGGTGCAGGGTCTCAGTTGGCGATGAGGAGAAAGTTCTAAAAATGGGTGGTAGCCGTGGCTACGCAATATGACTGTTCTTAATGCCACTGAACATGGTTACAATGGTAAGTTCTATATTATGTGTGTTTTAATACATACTATGACACAATACAAGGAAAGAATTTATAGTGTTTACAGTACAGTGTTAGAATCTATTTGCAGAGAAACGGCAGCCTTATTTTTATACATTACTACGGGATGCCTAGTCGTCAGCTGACCTGCACATACGCAAAAAAGAAAAAGAAAAAAAAAATAGACCAATCACATCTCTTTCAATTATTCAGACATCCAGACTCAACACGGCTCCGCTGGCCTGTGGCCTTCAGACTGAGGGAAAGTCAACTGAGAAATCTCTCCTTTCCCAGTCTAACTACTTTTTAAAGAGCCCTGTTTCCCTAAAGCCTATAATTATGTTTGCCTCCAGGGTATACCCAGGCATTTTTTTTTTTAAATAAGCAAAGAGCATCCTACAATTATCATGATGATTTGTTGAGCACAGGCCAAAGGCAGACAGCAGGCTGACTCAGCTCTGCAGACTGACACGCACGTGTTGGCGATCTCAATCCTGCAGGCCCCGCCAGGACGCGCGGGTCGATAATTAATATTAAGAGCTGGAAAATGAACAGATCCACACAGACGTCTGCGCTATGCTGCCCACAAGATGGGTCAGGCAGCAAGCAGGTGGGTGGGATGTGGCCCTTCCTGAGCCTGGCTGTCCCCTCGGAGCAGGCCCTCCCTCCGCAGATGGTCCTAGGTAAACGTTTCCAGCCTGTGTGAGTGCGTGGCAGCATCCAGATGTTGTCACCCGGTGTTGCTGCTAGCGCCACACGCAGCCGAGGCCGGGGTGGGCAGAGGCTGGCGGAGTTGGAGCCTGTCAACTCTGTCAGCCCTGATTTGCGGGCTGAGCCTGGTTTCGTGGCCCTGCCTGTAATCTCCCCGAGTTCAAAGAGCGCTGAGCTGCTTGTCTTTGTCAAGAGCGCGGTTGGGGATCTTTTATGTGGAAGATGTAGGATTCTCGGGCCGACTTTGATTATTTATTCATCCCCCTCGGTGGGTGTGTGATAGCACGGGCACCACGCAACCCCTTGTCCTGGCTACTCTTGCTCTGAAATTCATCGAGCTTAAAGCCCTTTGAACATTGCTTTTCGAGGGAGGGGAAAAGTTTTTGAAGTCCTGTCTCTCTCTCTCTCTCCCCCTCCACAGTGCCACAGCACCTCTTGCCGCCGTTCCATGCACCTTTGCCGATTGACATGCGACATCAAGAGGGAAGGTACCATTACGAACCTCACTCTGTCCACAGCGTGCACGGGTAAGTCCTGCCTCGGCCCCTCTGCTCCACGGAGGCCCCCTCCCCAGCAGTCTCAGCTGTCAATTCTTGCCTCTGTCCTCCTTTGTGGAGTTCCTGCTCTGTGCAGTCCCCAGTGGGCATGCACCTTTGCCACCCATGAGCGGGAGGTACGTGCGCACCAGCCACCCTTCTGGTGCCTTCTGAGAAGGATGCTCAGCTCACCTCCCGACATTCTTTCCCAGACTCTATAGACTTCCTTAGGGGACCTCCCTGCTTTACCCAGCCACGACGTGAGTCCCCTCCTGGCTCAAAAACCTGGATGAGGAAGGTGACCTTGGATATGTGCTGTCCCAACAGAACCTTCAGAGGACTCCCTTTTACTATCTCAACTCTTCCACTTGGGACAGTATGTTTCGTGGGCACCCAGCCATAAGGGCAAGCTCAAAGCAATGCTCTGGGGTCTCTTCCTATTCCCCGGCCTTGAGATCTCCAGGTCAAAGGGGCATGTCTCAGTAAGTCCAGCCCTGCTCCTGTCCATTCCCACCTGGGACCTCTAAGCCCCTGGTTCATGTCAGTTTTCTTGGTCTTTATGACTCGAGGCTCGGTACCTCTCTACCCCATTCATTCTTCTTCTACAAGAGAGGTGCCAATGTCTCCACTGTCCCCACTCCTACCTGTAAGGGGAGCTTCTATGAAGGATCAACTGGCCCCGAAGGCCCTGCTGACCACACCCCTCTAGTCACCTTACCTGGTTCCAACACACACCTCCTGCCTCCCATCTCTGCCATGCTCCGGCTTGCCCATCCCATCTAGAAGATCCCTTTCACCTGACCACCTCTAAGCCTCAGCTCTGGAGTCACTTCCTGCAGGAGTTATTGGGTCCCCCACATTGAGTGGGGCCCCATGCTGGTTCCCTCGACACTATCACCCCAGAGTGAGCCGCTTGCATAGCTGCCTTCCAGCAGGCTCTGAGCATCCCTTGGACTTCTGACAGCTGACATGCAGCAGGTCAATGCTACTTGAGTGGAGAGCCCTCTCCACGTGTGGCACCTCATGGAGGCAAGTCCTCCTACCTCTCCCATCTCCTGTCAGAATGAAGTCAAGAGGCATTTGCTGAATGCTCCCTACATTCCAAGGGTTGTGCCCAAGAAGTACACAGCCAGCCCTCGATGTCACCTGTTTGGGGAAACCTATTGCTTCCCCAGGATGGAACAAACCTGGGACTTTTTATTTTCTTTTCTAAAATATATATATATATATATATAACTTTTTAATATTTTACTTTGAAATAAGTCCAGACATGCAAAAGCAGTTGCAAAAAATCATAAAGGATTTCCTGTATGCACTCCATCTGGCTCTTTAAATGTAAACATCTTACATAACCAAAGACTGACACAAGGCTGTGCACGAACCTACCCCTTTTATCCACATGTGGCTGGGTGCCCACGAACGTCTTTTTTCCTGGTTCGGAAGCCAGCCCTAGGTCCCCCGTTGCCTTTGGTGATTATACATTCTTCACCATCTTTCGTCTGGGTGGATCTGGTGTCCCTCTTTGTCTTTTATAACTTTGACACTTTTGAAGAATGTGGACCAGTTACTGCTTATGCCTCTCAGTTTGGGTTAAGCTGATATTGCTCACAGTTTTGTTCAGATGCTGCATTTGGAGGAAATAATATCGTAAAAGTGACATTGTGTGTGCTTTACAGCACATGGTATCAGGAGGCACCGGAAATGTGGGTCATATGCTTAAGGCAGTGTCTTCGGGATGATCTGCTTTAAAGTTGTTACCTTTGTAGTTGTTAAGTGTCTGGCTGGGCAATACTTGGGGACTGTGTGTATACCCCATTTCTTATCACTTTTATGCACTTACTTAAATATCCATGAAAGATTCTTGCCAGAAACTGTAATGATTAGTGTTTGACACAGGGTGTTCTGTTTCCGTCGCTCCATCTGTGTGTATTGATGGGAATTCTACTGTAAGGAAGAACTGTCCTTCCTTCCATGTTTTCTTTATTTGATTATTCATTGGACACATGGATATGCATATTATTCTATGGATAATACTCTACTTCAGTATTTATTGTATTGTTCAGACTGTCCTACGTTTGGCCATTGGGAGTCTTTTCCAGTGGTCCTGTGTGTCCTTTTGACATATTGGAAACTTACCATGCTTTTTTGATGTATGTACGTGGTCCTTGAATGACTAGGATCTGCTTCAGTGCACCTGTAGGTGATGGGGCCATTACTATCCTCTGACCCCTTCCACAATCTGTTTAATGTGTTCTCAGGTAAATGCTCTGAAGCCTGGGTCTTGAAATGCTCTGATTGTAGACAGAGCCCTGCCACTGAATGAGAAGTCCCTCTGTGCCGACACTCACTAGGCAGGCAGGTGGCCATGGGCTGGGGCTTCTTTCTGGGCTTTGCCTTTCTCTGGTGCTGGGTTGGACAGTCAGATGCCATGTCTGGACCTGCTTCCTTCCTGGCCAGGGAAGACAGAGTGCCAACAGAGCCTGGGGCAGGAGAAAGCTCATGGTGGCCACTGGCAGCCTAGATTGAATGGTAGTATGAGTTATTAATGGCTGCTAAAACAAATTGTCACCAACTGAGTGGCTTAAACCAATACAAATGTATAATCACAGTGTTCGGAAGGCCAGAAACTCAAACTCACTCTGATGGAGCTAAAATCAAGTGTTGGTTCCTCTTGGGGGCTGATGAGGAGAATCTGTTTCTTTAGCTTTACTAGTTGTGGATGCCTCCTGCATTCCTTGGCTTGCAACCCTGAGGTCACATCGTACCACCTTTTCTTCTCTTTGTCTTCTCATTTCTTCTTCTGAAGCAGTTTTCTCTCTGCCTCTCTCTCATCAGGATTTGCAATTGTTTTTAAGGCCCACCCAGCTATCCAGGATCATCCTTCCATCTCAAGATCCTTAACACTGCAAAGTCCCTTTTGCTATTGAGGGTAATACAGGCTGTGAGGATTAGGACATGGTCATCCTGGGGGACCATTACCTGGTACACTTGGGATCACCAGACCCTAGTGAGGAGACTGGCTCCATCCAGTAGCATAAAGGGTGTTGATCATTTTGCACAGATCTGCAGCAGGCACCGCAGTGAGCCTGATATGCATATTAATCTTCCCGGTTGCCCCGGGAGATGGGGTTAGAAGCTTGGTCTTGCAGATACAGTCCTGAAGCTCAGAGAGGGGTTGTGGCTTCCCACAGGATGCCTGCAAGGTGGGCATGCTGGCTTCTCTCAGCGCTGGGGAGAGCAGTCTCTCAGGTACAGCTCCCCTCCCCAAGACAGGAAGGGGTTGTCTGCTCAAGCCCCCATTGACCCTGTCCTGCTGGGGGTGGCCTCCTTGGGATAGTTGGGTCCCACTCAGGCCAAAGGGTGAGACAGTGAAAGCTTTGGGGACTGGCCCTGAGCTCTGGAGAGCCCAGCTCCTCCCCTGCCCTCCCCTCAGTGCCTCAGGTGGGGACCGCACAGAGCCTCCTAGAACATGGCCCTGTGGCTCTGGCTGCCTTGATTAATGTGGCCGGAGCCTGGTGGAGCACCCCGATCCATCAAGCCCATGTTGTGGCCTGCTTCTCTTTGCTGGCATCAAGTGTGTCTAATTACACAAATGTTACACAGCAAATGAGGTCCAGCGTCATCTCTTGTCACAAGTCTGAGCCTCTGCCTGCTGCTGGGAGTATCAAGGGTGCGCCCACCAGTCTGCCCTTGTCCCCTCCTGCCCCCCACTGCTCGGGCATCAAGACCTCTCCCCAGGGCTCTCAGGATCCTGAGATCTCTAGGGATGGAGCACCCCAGGGTGTGTAGGCTCTAGGGCTGGCCCCTCGTGCCTCCCCTGTGCCCACAGAAGCGCTCCACTCAGTGCCCCAGAGCCTGCTGGGCTGGCTGCACTTGAACCCCGAGCTGAATCCACCAGCTGTGGGAGAGCAGATTGACAGAAATTAACAAATTAACCAAGTTCAATTTCTTCATCGGTGAAGGGGCCAGATCTCACAGATAATCCAGATAACACAATCAACTGAAATATTCTGAGAGTAAAATAGGACCCTCTGGGGGAAGCATTGAGAACAGTCCGCAAGCCTTCCATAGAGGTTGGTGGTTCATATTGGTACTGCTGGTCTCCCTGCTTGTCTGTTCTAAAGACGGAGATTCGTTGCAGGCTGTGGGCCATGTGGGGCAAAACCAAGAGACTATGTAATGGCTGGGATGTAAGATGGTGGGAAATGAGGCCAAGAAGTTACCGTTGAGGGAGGAAAGATTGGATGTCCTCCTTTGGCTCCCAGGAACAGGAAGGAGAGCCAGATTTATTTTTAGGGAAACTGTAGAACAGTTAAGGGATGGACAGAAGGACAGAGAACATGGCGAGGAGACCTGCCAGCAAGTTCTAGTAGCCCCACGAAGACGAGGCGCAGGGCCAGGTTGGCAACCCCACTCTCCAAGTTCAGGCTGCTGAGGGGCCACCACGCAGCCCAGCCCTGATGGTGGCTCTCTTCTAGACACGCACACCCTGCCCCTCTGCACCCATGTCCTGGTATGTGATGAGTCCCGGCTGACTTGGCCAGAATGAACTTGTGTCCTGGAAGGAGCAATGGAAGTCCCATGTTCCTGGCTCAGGGTCGATCTTCAGCTCTTGATGTGGCTTGGTGGGTCGAGCCTAGGCCTGCCCTGCCCTGCCCTGCCATAGGCTTCAGAAAAGACCAACTCCAGCTACCTTCAGCCCAGAAGGGCTTAGAACACTGTCACACGCAGCAGCCCCAAACCTGCCCGTGGACCTGAGCAATTTGGGTGTGACTTAAGGATGCTCACTCCCGTGCTCCAGCCCACAAAGCTCTGAATCTTTGGGCTAGAGTGAGGCCTGGGAATCTGGCTTATTCACAAGCACCCATAGGTCCTAGTTGGGGACCCCTAGAGGCCACCCTGCTTGTTCAACATCTGGCCAAGAAGCCCAGGGCTGTGTATTGGCTTCCTTGGATTCATAGCGCGAGCATGGATGAGAGGCCTGGCCACGG